GCTTTCAAATATCACTAGAAATGAAAATTTTTCTATGCGCATAAAAAAAACGTGGGCTTAACTTTTGGCGGCACAATATGTTAAATAAAATCGAAAAATGTCATATTTTTCTTCCTATTTAATTATGTATCTTTTCAAGAGTTGATTTTAGGCGAAAAGGGAAGAGGAAAAATATGTTTGTAATTAATTTTTTTACAAAACATTACTAGTTACAAATCGAATCATTCATGATTATTATGGTAAATATCGAAAAAATCGCAAAAATGAGGTTAAAAACAATACTTTTTAGGGAATTTTTTTGGGGTATTTAAATTGGGTATAGGACCTTTATACTTGGCTCAAGAAAATTTCATGTTATGTAGAATTATCACACCAAATTTCATCAAAATCAGTTCGATAGATTTTGCATAATAATTTTGCAATCCAGATTTTGAAAAAAATATTGCAAATTTTTAAAATTTTGCCCAGCAAAAACCAAGGCCTTTAGATACTCGAAAATTTAGTCACATATAGAAGGGCTCTCAAGCTTTCAAACTTTTTTTGAAAAATTCGAATCCGTTAGTTAGGAGAGCTCTAGCGCTTGTTTAAACATTGGTCGAATTTTTGTACTTATAAACAATTAGAATAACTGTGAATATTCAATCAATCAAATTTTTTTAAGCAGGTTTTAAAAGTTCTTGGAAAGACGCTTCTTAAAAAAAAACAGATCGATTGATCAATTAGTTTATCTATAAAAAATGTATCAATACTTTTTTTCCTAAGAGCCATCGTTTCTGAGATATAACGATTCAAAAAGTTGTAAAAGTAATCGTCATAATATGCATAAGTACGCCACGTACATCTCTGAAGCTGTAATATAAGTAAAAAAATTTTTCCATCGGAGATTGTAACTTACACTTAAAATATAGAATATACATAAGTAATGAAGAAGAATGAAGAAGAAGAAGAAGATCAAGAAGAAGAGCAAGAAGAAGTATTTGAAGCTTACGAATCTGACGAATAAATTCCTCTACTATTTTTTAATTTCCATCGCTTTTATCATTTCCAACCCTTGCTAATATCTGTTATTATGCAATACGAGTAGTTTGAAACTAAACAGAATCACAACAGACCTGTGGAATAAGCCTACTGGGCAAACCACGTTAAAAAAAAACGCGCTAAGTACACTACCTCATAGGTGGCGTGGAAACGTGTGCATATTATGACCATTACAACTTTTACAACTTTTTGAATCGTTATATCTCAGAAACGGTGGCTCTTAGGAAAAAAAGTATTGATACATTTTTTATAGATGAGGTAATTTTATGATAAAACACCGTTTAGCTGAAAATCTCGAAAACCCCATTTTTTTGACCTTTGACCTCGAGTAAATTTTTTTCCGAGTACCGGAACGATGAGGAATTTTAATATGTTATTTTTAATTATGTTTTGAACAACTTTACTCACTTTCATTAATTTTATGTATCTTTGAATGTCTAGATTGACCGGACTAAAGTTTCAATATCACGTTTACAGCTACAGTTTTTGATCTATAAATTATGGCCTAAAAAATAAAATTTGCGATTTATTTAAAATTATTGAATATGTTGGGCTCAATATTTTTCAAATTAAATTTTCAAGATTTTTTCCATATCGCTCACTGCTTTAATTGTCATTTGAAGAGTAACNCACACCAAATTTCATCAAAATCGGTTCGATAGATTTTGCATAATAATTTTGCAATCCAGATTTTGAAAAAATATTGCAAATTTTTAAAATTTTGCACAGCAAAAACCAAGGCCTTTAGATACTTGAAAATTTAATCACATATAGAAGGGCCCTCAAGCTTTCAAACTTTTTTTGAAAAATTCGAATCCGTCAATTAGGAGAGCTTTAGCGCTTGTTTTAAACATTGGTCGAATTTTTATAATTATAAACAATTAGAATAACTGTGAATATTCAATCAATCAATTTTTTTAAGCAGGTTTTAAAAGTTCTTGGAAAGATCTTTAAAAAAAACAGATCGATTGATCAATTAGTTTATCTATAAAAAATGTATCAATATCTTGAAGAATGAAGAAGAAGAAGAAGATCAAGAAGAAGAGCAAGAAGAAGTATTTGAAGCTTATGAATCAGACGAATAAATTCCTCTACTATTTTTTAATTTCCATCGCTTTTATCATTTCCAACCCTTGCTAATGTATGTTATTATGCAATACGAGTAGTTGGAAACTAAACAGAATCACAACAGACCTGTGGAATAGGCCTACTGGGCAAACCACGTTAAAAAAAAACGCACTAACTACACTACCTCATAGGTGGCGTGGAAACGTGTGCATATTATAACCATTACAACTTTTACAACTTTTTGAATCGTTATATCTCAGAAACGGTGGCTCTTATGAAAAAAAGTATTGATACATTTTTTATAGATGAGGTAATTTTATGATAAAACACCGTTTAGCTGAAAATCTCGAAAAACCCATTTTTTTGACCTTTGACCTCGAGTAAATTTTTTTCCGAGTACCGGAACGATGAGGAATTTTAATGTTATTTTTAATTATGTTTTGAACAACTTTACTCACTTTCAGCTTGTTGTAAATTTATGTGTCTTTGAATATCTAGATTGACCGGACTAAAGTTTCAATATCACGTTTACAGCTATAGTTTTTGATCTATGTATAAATTATGGCCTAAAAAATAAAATTTGCGATTTATTTAAAATTATTGAATATGTTGGGCTCAATATTTTTCAAATTAAATTTTCAAGATTTTTTCCATACCACTGCTTTAATTGTCATTTGAAGAGTAATCTGAGGAGGCTACGGAAATTTATTTTAAAAATTAAAAGAAAGACAGCTATTTTATTAGTATTGTACAAAATTATAGAATGACGTAACTTTGTATACGTACTATACATAAAGGTTGGGAATAAATTAAACAGTGGATTTTTTATTTTAAAAATTAAATATTTGTCATATAAAATTATGCTCTACGGGTTTTCTTTTCCAAGCTACAGGGTGTTAAAAAATTTAAAAAAATTTAGTTTTTTAATATCATTTTCAATGCAAAAATCTTTTTTCAATACCTATTTGACCATGTTCGGTGGCTGAGTCAAAGCGTACTTCATAATGCTTTTGTTATTTTTATATTCCTCTGTTAGCAGTGGGATAAAATGGTATTTACAAAAGTTTTATTTACGGAAAAATTACAAGAGCTAGAAATAAAACGCAAGAGGGTAATTTTGTTTAAAATAAAAAGTAGAT